AAATGGGCGTGTTCTCACAATATGGGCGTGTTCTCGCAATATGGAGTTTCATTTACTCTAATATCTATGGTTCTCGTAACTGCTTCACACTCAGACTCAGATGAGGACTCAGGCAAGACTCAAGGTAGCAGCACAATCAACAAAATCATCATTCACAAGATCATCATCTTCAATCTCCTCATGCTCATCTTCAGTACAAATAGTCTATATGGCTGGGGTTGACTACTAATATATTCAACTAAAATTTGCATAAAAATTCACAAAGCTTTTGTTTCTTTGCAGCTGACATTGTGATGGCTTCACTTAAAGTTAACTTTTTATAATTTTATTAAGCTAGCTAATTAATTAAGTTAATTATGTAAAGACTCCACCTTAATAAATTATAATAATTGTGCTAAAATGGCTGTTTTTCTTTTCTTTCTCCTGTCTCTGTTTGCCTGTGTCAAAAGTGACTGAGTGAGTAACTGCCAGTTGAGACAGCTACCCTAAACTTCTATAATCTTTGGTCATAAGTGACTTAAGGCAGAAACTCAATATAGGTAAACTACTAAACTTCAATTCTGACTTCTGAACTTCAGGGTAGGCTATAGCCTACCCTAGCCTTATGCTAGCTACGCCCTTGCTTCCATCACTGTATATTTCTAAATCTGTAGCAATTCTGACAAGACTCGAGATTGCCCACGTGGAAGTCATTTTGCACTATGCCACACCCCTTTATTATTTTATAATCTGGGCCCACCCCTTTGCATATATAATGAGGGCCGGTGTAGTAAAGGTGTATGCTCCAACAATAGAGGTGTATGCTCCAATAGTAAAAAGGTGTACCCTCGAGGTGAAAGGTGTGTGCTCCACTTGACGTGTATATTACACTTGCTACCAAGTTATTTTTGGCAGCAATCACCTCCCATACGCCTGCACCTTTGAGCCACACCTTGAAGGCAAGAAGGAGGATATCTGTGCTGGTACTGCTGGATCTCCTGGGTCTATAGGTCTATACTGATTAGTCTACTACAGTAGCGTCAACACACAGGCACTATTTTTAATTAAGTTAAGGTTCTAAAGCAGTTTGAGTGTTGCAAAACAACTATTGCATGTATTATTGTTGCATGAACTTGGGTAGAACTGCTTGTCAACACATTATTATGTATACAAAACTATACATAGCTACAGTAATAGATTTACATAATACTGGTGTTTGCAACTTTCATTTAGCTGTTTCATTAATTATACTACTAACCATGTAGTCTTGCCCCATCCACGCCAAATTATGAAATATTAATTATAAGTAATAATGAACAGATTTATAGTATCTTAATAGTATCTGTTGTAGTATCTTAATAGACAACAGATTTCAGTTTGTTTACTGTAGTGTAGATTAAGATTTGCACTTGCATGCTGAGAAATGAAGTATTATATAGCTACATGTATGTGTGGGTGTCTTGTTGTGGGGGAATATTAGCTCTTCTGCTTCTTGTAGGGGCTGTTGATGGCTGCTATCGCTCGCTGGACGCTTTCTCTCTTCTCTGAGTACAACAACAATGGTTCTCTTCTTTAACAACAACTTCACGCATGCGTAGTACACAAATTAAAGTTAATTAAGTGACATGAATAATAATCAGGTAATAATCTTTCCCAACACACTCCACCACGTTGACTGCAGTGGTCAGTCAAAATAACACTAAACACACATTAATGATAATAATACATGTACAATAGTTATAGTAATGGTTAGTTAGTTCTCACACAATCTTGCCAATATCTTGTCTCGAGCTTCCACAGCGGCAATTCTTCTCGGTCGAGTACTCTTGCGATTACCGTCTTCAATCACAGTTCCTTCACGATCATCTTCCTTTTTCTTTTCTGACGCATCTACAGTGGGATCAGTACGCTCTATATCAGGGGATTCTTCCATCTCAGGAGATTCCTCTACTTCTAGGGGAATTAATTTCTGTACAGGACGCTTCAATAGAGTAGTTCGCTTTCCTTTTGATAACAATCTAACTACACCGCCTCTAGCATTCCCATCAGCTCCCATAATTATCTCTTCCACTCTTCCAAGCTTCCAGAAACTCCTTGCTTTTTCATCACTATGCACAATCACGACATCACCAACTTTGATCTTTCTTGGACTACAACTCTTCTGTTCTCTAGTATACCTTTCTCTCAAACTAAGTAAGTATTCGTCTCTCCATCTTACCCAGAACTTGTCAAGTACTGCGTGGAGATATCTTAAACGACGGTTCAAAAGAGTGGGCGAAACCTCATCATTAAATTCCTCATTAATTCTGCGATAACACAACTCATCTGGTATGTTTGTTAGACGTCTTCCAGTTATTAGATGGGAGGGAGTGAGTGGTTCTTCGAGATCATCAGAGGCTATAAAACATAAAGGACGAGAGTTTAGTATAGATTCCACCTCAATGATTGCGGTCAATAGTTCGTCATAAGTTAACCCTGATCTTCCAATGATCTTGCGGAGACATCTCTTCATTAAACCGATCATTCTCTCAAACAGACCTCCCCACCAGGGGGCCTTCTCTAGATTGAATCTCCAGTCTACGCGTAAGCCACTCATGTATTCAGATACTGCTCTGTCAGTCACGATGCTATTGATGACCTTTGCTGCTGAGGTGAACGTTGTACCATTATCCGATATCACTTTAAGCGGAGTCCCTCTACGAGAAGTGAAACGTCTGAAGGACCTAAGAAAAGAAGAACATGACAAATTAGGCACAATATCTAGGTGTACAGCCCTGGTTATACAGCAGGTGTACAAACATATCCAGATCTTCTGATCACAC